ATGGATGGATGGATGGATGGATGTTGCAGAAACAGTAAGTTTCTCAGTGGATCTGAGCTCAAAAATGCAGCCTAGGTGGAGTAGTCGAACACAGATCCACTGATCCTTCAACACAGAGYATCTTCAGAAGACAAGTTGATAAAATAAAATAAAAAAATCTGTATTGTTMGTTACAAGTGTGTATTGAACCTAAAGCACTGTATTGAACGGTTCGATATGAGTACATGTATTGTTGCAYYCCTAATGCAGTCTACTGATGGTACTACTAAGATTTACAGTAACATGTGTACATGAACAGAAGACGCCGCTCCTCCTCCTACACCAATCCGATACACCGGTCCTCCGATCTTCACCACCTCCATACCTTATTGACAGAAGCAGCAGCCTAAGTGTGAGTTATTTATCAATATATTATGAAAATATAGTTTTAGGAGTGAATGGGCACAGCTCAAATACAGAGTAAAAGTTTTACCAGGTTCAGCCTCCAATTTCTTCACATGCATGTCTTCAATAGACCCGAGACCACCGCTGAACATGATGGGCTTAATCCACTCCCGTCGCTCCCCGTTAGCCAGTCGCATGCCAAAGGAACGAGCGAAACCTAAGGGTGTGTGGGTGGGGTAAGGCTGTTCAAATAATTATGGTAACTAAACATGGTTTGACAAATATATGAGCTTTGTTTAATTCTGGAACAGATTTCCTGCTGTAACAGCACCTGTTCAGATTCAAAACTCAGGAATAAACCTTTTAMATTTGTTCTATAAACGCTGCAGCAGGTGGAGCAGTATTTTTTCTAACCTGCCAGGACAGGTTCTCCAAATTTGTTGCCATAGTCTGACGCTCCATCGCTGGCCTCAATGGCAACCTGTAGAGGAGGGGCGAAGCTGGATGGATACTTCCATCCCTCTCCTTCAGACTCCCAGGGAAGATGGTACCCTGAAGTGGAGGACAGATGGTAAAGTCTGGCTGAAGAAGAAAATGTGCAAGCTGTCGCATATTTTGTCATATGTGTGTCACTGATCCACCAGGTGACAATATATGAACCCAAATACAGCAGAGGTTTGTCAATGATAAGTGTTAACAGAGCAACATGGGAACATGTGACTCAWGTTGTCTGTTGAAGAATGGTCATGGGTTGACTGGGTTTTTTATTTTACTGCTTTAGAGTTAGGGGACCTAAATATYTGGGTAYAGTATACCCTAAGCACTAATCTAAAATTAGTTTTAGGGCTAGTGGAACTAATTTTTAGATTAGTGCTGCCCACCACTGGTACTTAGTATAGTATACTATACTATAGCACTTTACTATCAATAGTTCCTGTATTATGGAAACAAATAAATAAGTAAACAGCTGGATTAAATTAATTTAAAATTTGTTTAGACTGTGAAAATGTTCCTACAACCTGAGAACATCAGTTTTCACATTGCTTTAGGAACAATTTTAATATTACTGATTACTTCTAGGGATGACAAGTAATTGACTTAAGATTAATAACCTATMTGCCACGACATCCGGTCCAGCACTTGATGCCACTCCCAATACTTCCGKTTCACAGTCAACACAGTGTTAGCGAAACATTATTTCACCCGACAACGACTCTTAATGATCTCCACAGTACAGAATTATCATATTACATGTACCAACATTAACACAGGAGACATACAGGCCCAGCCAAGTGGAAAAAAATCACTCCAAAGTGGATTAAAGACATAAAAACAAAGGAAAGACGTTCGTGTTTATGGTTCCAGAATTTAGTCTTTTTCACTTTTCCTTGGCTGCTTGTTCTGTGAATTTTTCACGTAGAGCTGTAACACTTATATTGTTGGAAAGAGCAGAGTCTGGGCTTTAAATCGATGGGCTACTTGTTTGGTTTGGATCGTTTTCCCCGACGTTAGTGAACTGAAAACGTAATGATTATCAGGAGGAGGTTCTGCTGCTCTCGGTGCTCGGGGGGAGGAGGGGAGGGGGGGCTCGTCACTCGGCTTTAGTCTACGCTGTAATATACACTCTAACATGGTTTTACTTTAGTCTACACTGTAATATACA